TTGTTATGAAACTTGTTTACCCTGCTGGTCTACCAGCACAAAGATTGCAATTCATGAAATACAGATTTTTCTATGAAGACTTGTTTCTTGAGGGAAAACACAGAGGAGAATGAAGCATAAACATATGTAATGGATTTCACACTAAAAGTTTAAAACAAAGATATTTCCAAGCTAATGGGACTTCATTTTAGTCTATGCTTTTAACTAGCAGGAAGAAAGTAGAGAGGAAAAGAACAGAAACAAAACACAAGACGCAAACCCCTGAGATCTACGGGATTAAGAACAAGTTAAAAACTGAGCCTCCTCCTCCTCCTCCTCCACCTTAGCTTAAGCATGGAGAGAAAGCTCTCAGTGAGTCAAAGCATTTGGAGTAAACAGGAGTATTTCAACCCTGTGGAAACTGCTGGCAATCAGCTACCAGCAGACAGTCTCAGGCCCTTCTTCTGCCTCTCAGTTTGTTCCTCCTCCCCTCTGAAACCTGCACAAGAATCCTGCACCTTCTAAGATCAACCAACAAGAGAGAAGTGATTTAGGCATGACAGAGCAAAGGCTCAGAGCAATACAACACACTGCAACAGGACACACAAAATTACCTTATTGACTTGGCTCATAGACAAGGTATTCCTTACCATTCACTTGTTTAGGAGCTGCTGCAGCTCTGGATTTACCACACTGGACTGCCTTTCCCTGTCTGAAATTTCATTTCAGTTTCCCCCACTGAGCTCTTCTGCATCTCCCACTCACCACACACCAGTCTTTACATGCAAAGCCAACTCTGTGCTCAATACTACAGCCATTATCGCAATGGCACACAAACCTGCACTAGATACACTACACAAATACTCGAGCTCCCAGCACATCAGTTTTGTGAGCTTTCTCCTGCAAGAATGTTCCCCCACATGTGCCCAAGAGCTTCCCAACACTGAGATGCCTCCACTGCCCACAGCAGGCTGTGGTCAGGGTTTTTAACTCATGTGGACAGGGATGAGGATGTTCCTTCTTTTGTTGGTTTGTTTGCTGGATCATGGTATGAGGCTTTTAATTATTAGTTGTTTTATTTTTCCAGTGGGGGAAAAGCAGATGCAGGCAATGAGGCTGCTGTCCTGCAATGAAGTTTCACTGCCCTACTTTAACACAGGCTTTCTACATTACCACATGCAATCTGCTTGGCCATTCAGTGTCTCAGTTATCCTTCCTACCCTGCAGAGATGCTGGGAAGAAAAAAAACATACTAAAGACTATAACAGTGCCAGTTACTACAGTAATAAGGACTTGCTGAAAAGCTCAGTTTATGACCAACACTAAGTAGAATGATGCATCCACGGTGTAAGTGGACACATCTGTCCTCAACAGTACTTGTTCAGCAGCAACAACAGTTTGGGCATAGGAGCAGAGCTGACATCATAGAATGGTTTGGGTTGGAAGGAGTTGTAGAGCTCATCTAGTTCCAACCCCCTCTAGACCAGGTTGGTCAAAGCCCCATGCAACTTGGCCTTATACATCTCCCTGCATCCCTCCCTACTTGGACCTTTGGTATCTTTTCCAGTACCTAATGATACCCAAACTCAAGCAATACCTAGTGCCATCACACATCTGACTGCCATGTCAACTGACCTTAATGCGGTGTCATCATGATGAGACAGCGTTTGAAACTGTTCTGCAGAACAGAGTGCCTCCGGTACAGAGGAAATCTCCAGCTATGGAGAATTTGAACCACATCCTTTAGAAATCTAAGTACTGTAACAGTGTCAGTAAAGCAATAGTTAAGTAAGGTTTTGGTTCCTTTTCACCAAGGCAAACAGAAGCTTATTTGGGCAATGTAACCTGGTTTGCCCTTAGGCTGACAAAAGAGTCACGGAGAGCAAGCACAGCATCATCTCCTGCCTAATTCTTATATCTCAGTAGCATATTTTGATACTTCAAGTTATGACAGATCAGCTCAGATGTAAATCTGTTTCTTATGACTTGAAATTACTTCCCTTAAAGTAACCCAGTCAATAGTGGAGCCACCTCATCCCAACAGTTGCAACCACCCCATCCCATCCTTCAGAGCAAGTGCAGAAATACAGGTATTTTGCCCTTTCAGTGACTGCTGAATCGACATTTAGCCACATCTTCAGCTATAAGAAAGCTGCTCCCACAAATTTACAATCAGAATTCCTTTATTATGTACAGATATAAAAGCTCACATTTGAACAGTACTGTTCACTATATATATTCAGTGTTTAAGACTGATGATAAAGACAGCGTAAGAGGCAGATTGCTCCAGTAATTATGTAAAATGCAGCAGGCATTTGACTCTGCAAGTTGTAAGCTTTTATTTAGGTAAAGTCTTTCAGCATACAGAGGATTTTCACACACAATGGAGATGTAGGAGGTATTTACATTCTGTTTTCTTTAAGTTCTCATCTAAAACCACCTTATGTTGTTGAGGTTTTTTTTTTAATGGGATCTCCTTTGAAAGCTTTGCTAAAACACTTGACTCCATTTTGGCAGCAAATGTAATCAAATCACTTCTGTTTCTGCTTTTTACACCTCCATACATCACCAAAACTACTGACAAAAGACAAAAGACATTTAAAATCTGGTTTTGTGCTTACATTAGCTTTAACAGCATTATTGTTACTCCTTTCAATCAGGCCCCTGATGGACTTCACCTCAAGTCTCCTGGGGACCATATGAAACTCTGAGGACTTGGGATGAGGATGAGGCCTCCAAGCCCAGAAGTGAAGCAGAGGAGGTTCAAGGCAGGCAGAGAGGCTCAGTGTGCTCTTGAGTGAACCAGCCCTTCCTTCATCCACCTGAGCCATCCCCAAGCAGTGGCTGCACTCCCAAGGATGTGCACCACATCTCCCATTGCAGGGACAAACTAAAGATGCTCAAAGCTGGAAGCAAAGGATGAGTTTTGGCTAAAACCTGCTTACAAGAGTTTCCTTGCAGAGCACTTGCTAACGCCTGGGCCTGGATGTTTAAACAAGGGCTGGTCTCCCACACAGTGTCTCTTGTTCATGGCTAATCCTGCTGCGAGGTCAAATAACGCCAGCTCTGAGTCACCACAACCATCTCCAAGGCAACTGGCCGAATATACAGTGTAAACACATGATTATAGATTCAGTGTTGAGTTCAGGAAGGAGGAGGAAGACCTCTGCTGAAATAAGTCATGCTCTTGATGAAATCAGAGCAGTCAGTGCTGAAGCAACACTGAACAAATGCACTGGTGCCAATGGAACGCATCAAAAAGATTGCTTTTCCCCCCCCCTTTTTCTTCTCTGCATCAATCCCTTCACCACTAAAGTCTCTCAGGTAGTTTCTCCAAAACGAGGTATGAATACAGAAGAGAATGTTACCCAAACAGTTACTTTACATCTGAGATCTCACCTCTCTCCTTGCACCACGGCTCCAGACACTGCAATCTGGCAGAAATGGGACTACCTTTCCAAGAGGCCTGTTAAATGTCTATCTGATATGGGCTGTATTTTGGGACAGCACCCATCCCTATCTAGATCCCACACCACAAGATCCTGACTCCAAAATAAAAAAGCCATTATAACTAAAGGAACAATTGAAAGCAATTCCTTCCTTTCCCTTTGAATCATTAACGGAGTCAGATTGCCCACTAACAGCGAATAAAGGAGCCCGAGAGAGCCCTCCCAAGTGACTCAGTTGTACTTGGAGCTGGCCTAGCAGAACAAGCAGAGCCCAGAGCATCATCTCAGGTACTGCCTGGCAGCCACATCCACTGCTGCTCCAAGGATGTCAGGGACAGTGGTGATAAGAAAGCATCGCTCCTGCCCGGAAATCCCGGTTCCCTCACAGGCTGAAGGGGAACACTGAAGTTTTTCAGTTCCTTTCTTGGCAACGCAGCCATGGTCCCGAGGGGAGGTGAGGTCATTGCAAGCAGGGCTGGCAGAGCCCTGTGCCTGCCACACAAAAGCAGGGAAGGAGTCACTTCTTCTTCTCCATCCTCTGGGAGAAAATAAGCACTAATCTGATTGATTGTATTGGGCTCTGGTTGTCAGTAACCATAAAAAGACTTCTCTTCCCAAGCCAACTAACAACACAAACAGCACAAAAGGAAGAGGAAACGAAAAAAACACAGTGTCCAACTCTTAGCCACTCATTCCAGAAGGAAAAACTCCTTAGCCCAAATTTCAATCCACGGGAATCTCTCACAAAACAATCGTTACAAGACAGATAAAAAGCAAACCTAAGAAACACACTTTATTGCTGAAGCTATACTGTGTACAGTGAAAATGTCAGGCATTTTTCTCACACTAGTATCAATGTGCTGCATAGCAACAAGTCAGAATGAAAGGTTAATGGTAAGGACCGCAGCCTGGAACATGCTCATTCCCACGGTCCTGAAGTCACCAAAGGGAAATGCTGCACCGATCTGTTTTGTTTTGTTAGCAGTCAAAGGCTTAAAGAGAGCAGTGGGCTTTAATGTGACAACCCACCCCATCCAAACTGGGTATGCTGGAGGGATGGCACCAAGCACCATCACTGCTTGCCACTGCAAGAGCTTCAGAAAGTCTGTGTTGGCTCTGATTTAAGGGAAAAGGGTTCTATTTTACCAGGTCTACAGCAAAAACCTCACAGAGTCAAGCAGAGCAGATCCTAAGCGTAGCTAGACCTTATATGCCTTATAGCCTTATATATAGGCTATACAGCATTTGGATAATAGCAACTCTAGCCTAGCAAACGTGTCTTCCATTACCTTGCTTGCATTTAAAAGCTTGCTTAACGTGTAAATTTAACTGTGTATTTTCTCTAATGGAATTCCACAGTTACACATTAAATAATTGCAATCTCAGAGTTATGCAATTCCAGCAAAATCAAGCAAGAAAATTTTAAGAGGCAAAAGCAGCCATGCAAACCACACATGAATGTGAAAATGAGCAAAAAGACAACCCAGAAAACAGCACGATGCTGAAGCCCACTTGAATGAACCAAATTTCATAGACTGATACACTGATACACAAAGAAAGGCAATTGTTTACCAGGTGAAATGGTCTCCAGACTCCCAGGATTTATCTTTCTTGTGCTTGTGCAGTGTTGGACAGTTGACCCAGTGAAGACCAAGTAAAACACTACATCATCTTCAACTTTATCTTCCTCAGTCAGCTGCACTGTTATTACAGAGTCACCCTAGAAAAAAAAGGACAAGAAACAAGGTTAGGTTTACACTTGTGAGAACTGCATCATATAAAATAGAACTTCTCTCCCTCCCTGTTTGCGTGCTCCTTTCACACAACTTGGGTCCATCCTAATTTTTACATATTCAAGTCATCCTTCGCATGCTTCTCAGCATCCTAGCCAGCCAACCAGCTAGAAAATATGCTGAATGCAGCTCCAGGAAGAGATGCATAGAAATCTCAAGGGTATATTCCAAATAGTAACTTTATATGGTGAAATCACACCAAGTCATAAGCACACACCCCACACAGGGGGGTTTTATATACATACACACATGTACACACGTATCTCCCTATATATGCATACCTAAAACAACAGAATGGGGATAGTGGTCTAAAATTGCTTCTGTCTTCATAAATTTGAACAAATTCCCTAAATCTTGCTTGAGTGTTCACATTTCCCCTGTCCAAGATAGCCACAGTGCTGACAGTTCCAGCGTAGCCAACTTAACCACTTGAGCACATCCTATCCATCATCCATAAACACACACAAAGATATGGAAGTTTCATATACCAGATTTCTTCTGCCTTCCTTACAAAAAAAACCAACAGTATCTGGCTGTACAGACAGTGGTATCTCTTCCCACTCATCTATGAGCTCACACCTTGGTGAAAAGCTTATGTTCTCAAAACCAGCAGTTCTTCAAGCCCTAAAAAGAAACCTGTCATGATATGCTGGCTGAACACTCCTGCTTTGGTTTAGGGAGGCTTTGTTTCAGTATCTCGGTATATTTGATCATTTCACTCATCTTTGCTGCAAGCAAATGACATTTCTGAAGGACACACATAGCTATTGCAGTTAACCCAGGACAGGATACAGTAAATACACCCACAATTCATACACCTGCATGAACAAGAACAGGAGCAATATCCCCCAATATCCTTCCATTTTCCATGAGGAAGGGAAAATAAAGAAAGAGGATAGCTTGCAGTTAGTACAAGACTAAATGGAGCATTTCCATTTGGTCTCACCATACATCATTTATCTGCCTGAGGAATTATATAAACTACAACACCGAAAACAAAAGGCTGCAACATGACCTTCTGCCCCTTTTCCATCAAGATCAAAACCAGTTGGATGCCCCAGTTTTACACTGCAGCTGCATTAGCCAGCTCTCTGCCACCACCCCATTAAGCATATGGTTAAGGCTGCAAATCTGGAAATGATGTTTTTATTATTATTATTGCAGACTGCATAACTCTGATTTGCATATCCAACAGAATACACATGCAGATTCATTCAAAACCTTCCTCTTGAGCTCGCTCCGTTCATCCCTTCTCTTTGTCACATACAACTATTGCAGAAAAATCCCACGCTTCCAAGCCCTCCTGTACACCAATGCGTGTAAGCATCACTTCCCACGCTCCATCTCCCCCTGTTCTCCCTCATCTCAGCTCCTTTTACACCCCATCACGGCTTCCTCCTCCAAGTTCATGTCCAGTTCTCTGATCCAGCCTGTCTGGGACCTCTTGCCAGGGGCAGATCTGCACCTTGTTTTGATAGAAACAAGGTTTTGCAGTGCAGTACACAACCAGCCCTTGGTATTAAGAAGAAATATGTGGGTAAGGATTATAAGACACAAGAAAGAAAACCAAGAATGCCAAAGAGATAAATGAAGCAGTAAGTATAGTTTGTGTTTCCAGAGGCTGCAGTTACAAATGCACATTATAGGAAGGTCTCACATGATAATATCAGACCAGGCTCCCAGCTGGGGAGCAAGGAGCTATGCAGCATATCTTGTCTATAGTCAGTGTTAGAATGAAAACAGGTGCAAAAAGAAATAAATCAAGCTTTAAATTCAAGCATGACCAGTTCACATGCTGAGTTGGAAACTAAATATTCCATTTCAAGCAAATGGATCCAGTTTTGAGCGGATGTTCAAAAAAACAAAAGCTGGAGCTTTAACCCCCAAATCCTTTGTGCTTTGGTTTTTACATCCGTCTTCAAACTGTTTCTCCCTTAAGGCATGAACATATAAAGTACTTAAACGGACTTGAAATGCAGGTAACATTTCAGGACGCCCATCAACAGGGCTGATTGTTTAAAGACGCATCTGGTAAAGGAGAGTTTTCTTTAAGTCAGAAATCAAATTCAGCTACTGCAATTCGGGTGAAAATAAAGCCAACCTGCACAAGGTGCACGCGAGAAGGCGCATGCCTGTCCATGTGAGCTACTCACATTTCAAGGAAAAGCAATTTAATTTGCAGCATTACTGCAAAGCCTAATTTATATATTTTGTTACTGACAAAACCCCATGCAAATACACATAAGAAACCTCAACACCAGAGGTTCCGTGTAACCTGAAATCTGGCTAAGCCAGGGTTTTAAATATGATAGCTGAACTTCCTATATAGAAGCAACAGATAGATAGATAGAACATATATATACCTGATGTAATTTTGAGGGTGGCCCTGCTTTGGAGGGTGGTCAGACCAGATAACCTCCAGCCATCCTTTCCCACCACTCTTTGTATGTTAATTCAGCTTATTAAAGTTACTGTTTAAGTCAAGGGGAGCACAAATTATCATCAGCTGATATCAGGTTAAGAGGCTCTTCAGCTGCATCCAAGTAGCACTTTATAGTGGGATGGTCTCCCACACCTTGCTCCTTCCTTCTCTTCTGGAGGACACTACAGCAAAAGACTGAAGCGGAACACCCTACACCTTTATTATAACTGAGCATGTTCTGCTTGTTTTCTTTTTACTTGAAGTTGCAAGTTGTCTTCCAACACCTTCAGCAAGACCAAGAATGTGCCACCTAATTCTTGTGTGCTTCAGCTTCCTTACAGGTTGTACTGTACCTGGTACTGCTCACTGTGCATGATGGGATCCGAGACGCCCGAAGCAAAAGAGCAAAGCACTAAACAAGACCGTCCTCCTTCAACACACATGTTTCCTTTCCCTTTTATTAACAATAGTGTTGTCTACTGCCCATTTTAATTTGATTTTTAAAAGCTGTATTCTAATAATATTTATTTGGAAAGGAAATAACGTACAGAACAAACCCTCTTCTTTCCAACATTTTTGGAGTTAAAGAAAATCAATTGCAAATGCAGACAAATTCCTTCAACCCACACAGAAGTCTTTCCAACAGCCCTATTGCATTCAGCCTCCAAAAACATTTTAATTGAAGTATGTTTACCTTTATTCATTTAATATTGTCCAAAAAATGTCATCTGTTCAGCATCACTGCCACACAAGGTGGTTATTATAACCCTTCTTTCATCCCGAATGGCTAGAAATGGGAGGCCAGCCTGCCAATATCCCTTTGGTGAAAGTACAGACAGATCAAAGCTATTCTCTGGAATGCTCCAACAAATAAGAATAATTTAATTTCAAAACTAGTTTGGATCGACTAATATTTACTTGGCTTAAAGCCCATTGGAAATGAAAACATTCCATTTTGGTCCATTCATGAAGGAGGTCACCCTCTCCCTCGTTCAGATCTGAAAATCTCTGGTTTCAGAGAGCTGAAACGGGACATAAAGAAGGTGGATGCGGTTCTTTAACTCTCCTCCTCAAACCAAAGGAGAAAGCAGGTTTGCTTTGCCAACGGATGGATGCACTGGAAAGCCAAGCCTGACCTTGGGCTTTAAACTACTATAAAACAATTCAGAAAGGGATTTGAGAGTGGCACATCTCTGAACCTTGGGCTTAGTCAGGGCAGCAGAAATGCAATTATCCCTAAAAATGCCAAATGCTGTTACTAGGTCTAAAACCCAACACTAGATTGACAACACACCTGTTTGTCAGCAGATTTTCCTGGCATTAGGACAATTCCACCTTTTTAGGTATTTATTTTTCCAGTGCTGCAGTTCAAGGCATGCGGATTATGTGAAGGCAAAGCTCAAGCAACTGAGTAATCATTTCTTCTTTCTCAGACTTGGTTTCTGTGCCTGTTACAACAAACTATTTACCTTCAAAGGCTTTTCTTTCCCTTAATAAATGGCCTCAGCATCATTTGGAAGTGACGATGAAGCGAAAATCGTTAAGCTCCAAAGAATTAAGATCACTTATATTATTAAGTCAAAAATACCATCCACCTTCCAGAAAGAAGTAATTGTTTTAAACATGTAAAGACATCTTTCTTTTCCACTTCAGGCTCTGGAAATCTGGGACTGGGGAACCAGGCATCGTATCAGCTCTACCAGCAGCAGGTAGAACTGATACGTGCATTTCTCTACAATGGACTACGAAGGGGGAAAAAGTATTCTTAGCATGCTGGCTATCAAATTTTAAAGTTTCTAAAAAAAAACCCAAAACACTAAAAAAAATACAAAAACCCCTGCCAAAACCACCAAAAAAAAGCCACGCTGTATTTTTATAGCTGAAGCATGTGATTTGTAAGCTAGGTTTTCCCCCATGGGTCATAGTGGGAATTTTGAAGTACATTACCTAACCTACTAACAACCCAACTCTGGACTCCCCACACACACACAGTCTAAAAATACTTATGAAAATGAAGCATGTATTAGACAGCATTACTTGAGCCTTCTGCTTTTAATGAGGACATACTAACCACCACGATTTGTTCTAAACAGAAAAGCAGAATTGCTGCTGATGACCATTGCCATCTCTGCCTGGTTTTTTATGCAGGAAGAACATAGCAAGTGCAATCCTACTGAATGGAAAGTCCACGCGTTAGAGACTCAGATGCAAGGAAAGAAACCTGCCTCCCAATGTATTTTCTTCTAAGAGCTGCTGTAGACATCAGCGTTATGATGCTTCATTAAAACAGCTGGATTAGGTGCTGGATTAGATGAGTAAATTTAACTTGCCACTGTAACAAGTTTTGTTTTGTTTCCGCTATTCATAACATGAATCAGATGCTTGTTGGGTCATTGCTTATTGCATTATGCTGGGACACAAAAGGAGAAACAGGCTTTTGAAACACTTTCTCCCTCCCAGCCTCTTTAGAAAGCTCTAAATAGCTCCCAAGAGAGTGGCACTGTA